ACAAACAACCTCAGGGAGGCGCAGATTTTTCCTTTTGGCTATGCCATTCCATTGTGAGGTATAAGGACATGTAGTTTGATGGATGATGCCATGGTGATCCAAATATTTGCACAATTCGGAGGTCACATATTCACCTCCCTTGTCGTTGCGAAGCACTTGTATTTGTGTGTTAAACTGAACATCAACCATTTTATGAAAATTTTGAAACAAAACTCACTTCTATTATCAGTGTGAACCATTTTTATTTTTTGATGGAATTGAGTTTGAACTTAGGCAAAAAAAGGATTTTAACAATGGTTGAGTTTCTGATTTGTGTCGCATGCCGAGTAGTACGAGAAAAATCATCAACAATTGTCATAAAGTAAGGTGCTCTAGTATAGGATGGAATTTTATGCGTACCCCAAATATCACAATAAATGAGCTCAAAAACATGTTTACTGGAAATATAACTCAATTGAAAAGGTAATCTAGTTTGTTTTGCCAATGGACAAATGTCACATGATTTATTCGAATGAAGAGAAATGTCTAAAGAGTTCTAAGCTAATAACTGAAGTCTTTGTGGAGATGGATGACCAAGACGATGATGCCAGACGACGGAATGGATGCTAGGGTGTGAAGATGTTAGGGAACGGCCATGAGGTTTGGTGAGATAGTAAAGGCCATCGCGTTGTCTACCCCAACCAATCATCTCTCCCTTCTTCAGGTTCTGCAATATACAAAAATCAGGGAAGACATAAATGAGATTGACCAAGAAAGAAGCAATCCGCAAAACATTGGTCAAAGAAATTTGTGGAGAAAAATTAAAATTGCCAATACTACTAATCGAAACCCATTCACCAGTGGGCAAAGTCACTGGTGGCAAAGATTTATTGCAAACTGATTTAGACAATGGAAGGGGCAGTGATGTGGTCTGTCACGCCACTATCAATAATCCATTCTTGCGAATGGTATGAAGGCACACCTACTGCTGCATTAATCTGAGTTTCGGATGCATGGACCTTGCCGGCGTCGGTTGCGGAAGCTTTGCTGGACATGAACGCTAGGAGCTGCTGGTATTGTTCATTAGACAAGGTCAGCGAAGCTGCCCCCTGAGAAGCATGGATATTGTTGGCTGCGACACTTCCAATGTGGGACATTTTCCACTTGCTAGATTTGTCAACTTTCTAATGTGGGACATTTTCCACTTCACATCTCAAACCCCTTTTTTCTTTTTCTTTTTTAATGTCAGATGAAGGATCAGAGGAGATGAACTCGAGATTCCCATGTTTTGAAAGTATTGATGAATGACCCTTACAATGATTGGAGATGTTGGTATGCACAATGTTTGAAAATAAGAACATGGAGAATTGAATCGTTTGATTATTGCTATTTAACTCAATTAATTCCAGAACAAATGATGTCCTCGAACTCGAATACAATTTTTACCATCCATGCAAATCAGGTTAAAATCACATAAAATACTTGCAAGAATACAAGGCTATTGTAGTATAGATGATCATGTGCAAGGTCGTTCTCCTCAAGGACTATTTAGTAATTAATGTAAAAACAAACTCTAATTAACTACTTGAAATTAAGGGCTGAGAAGGATGATTATGAAATTGTCTAAAAACCACGAATGTTGATTAAAAACAAATATGATCAAAGAAAAGAGTTTTATAATCCAATTTATAAAAGCACTAGGGTTCCACCATCACCTAGCAATCCTATGAATTTTTACCAATTACTTATGATTTGCAAATGCCACTTTGAAGGTTAGGTTTTCCTAATTTATATTCTACTTGGAACCTCCAACATAGAACGTATATCCAATATGCAACCTGTCCGGACGTTCGGATCAAACATAACAGACTCATTAAGTTTTGTGAAAACCCTTTGAAAAACCATGCAACCCTTAAGACATGGTGTTCATCTTAAGTGAAATTACAATTATTAATCACAAGAAGCCAGCGTCAATTTCAGGGAACCTTCCGACCAAAATTGCATCCAATTACTTTTCTAAAGACCTTAATGGTGATCAGGCATTAAGACAATTAGATAATTTAAAACAGTGATTAACAATTCAAAGTATGCATGCAATCAATCATAAGCAATTAAATAAAAATTACATATTCATGCTAAGGTTCAAGGCTTCACCCTAGAAAAAGGAAATTAGTTACGCATATTCAAAACTGAAATCATGGAAAAAAAATGAAAACACCTTAAAGTTGCAAAACTCCAAGACCTTAACAATTGCTCTCCACAATGTCACGTTCAAAAGCTAAAAAGAAAGTCCCAAAAATTCCTGTTAAAAAGAACTTAAATACCTCCTAAAATCTAGCTGCCCAATCCCCACAAGGAAACTAGGTTAAAATAAAATAATATTAGGATATAAAATCCAAATTGGATTAGGAGAATCTGCCCACAATCTGCCCAGCCACGTTTTGGCCTCAAATCTCCTCCAAATCCCGCCCAAGATTAGCTTGTTTTAAATATAAAAAGGTTCTAAACACTTCTCCAAAAGGCCACGAACCCATCTGAGGTCATCTTGGGCTCCAAAAACGCAATAAAAGCCCAAAACGTCACTATTCCAGCACCGCGCACTGCTCCTTTGTTTTATTCCCAGAAAATAACCGTTTGGTAGAAAAATCTGAAATTTTGATACGATCAAGCTAAGTGACTCACGAATGTCCTCCAACTGGAATTACTCCAAAATTCATCCATTTGATTATGTTTTTCTCCAGAGAGAGTTGAAAGTCCTATATTGGAAATATAATTCAAAGTATCAAAAGTCTTCCAAAATATTAACCAAAATATACTAAGATGGGGTTAAATATATAATATAAAATATACCCATCAATGTCCATAATGGAGGAGATGGTGGGGTGCTAGAGTTTGGGGAATAAGATGAGGATGAATCTTTATTTTTAATTTTTGTAATTTTTCATATTGTTTTTAAGTAACTACTTAATACTATTATTTGATATTGTAATAGGTTATAATTTTAATTTTTTGTGAAATTACGAATTTGCCCTTAAGCTAACGAAAAAGTGGATGACATCCTTAAGAATCTTACAATAGGCCATCAATTGGCGATTTTTAAACAATTAGTCCTTAATTCACCGAAAAAATTATTATAGGGGGCTAAATTGACAATATTCAAATAATTTTGAGAACAAAACTCCTGAAAACCCTAAAAAGAATTTATAAGATTAACATACATCGCATCACCATACCGCATATATAACTTATAAGCAGTGGCGGAGCCACAGTGGGGTCAGTGGGGTCGCACGACCTCTTGGAAGCCATGGAAATAAGCTTAGAGGTCCCTTGGAGCTGCACACCAAGTGCTCGACTAAATGACTGAAGAAGAAGAAGAAGGTTGTGCGCGGGTCTTTCTATTTTAAAACAACCTTGGCCCAGGGAATTTTTTTAAATGACTTGGCCAAAACAACATCGTTTTGGGCCAGGTTTGAAATTAAAAAAATATATGAAAATGCCCAGCGTATCCTTCCTCTCCAGCGCTAATCCCTTCATTCCAAAACCCCCAAATTTTTTTGTTTTCTCCTCCAACCCAAAGTTCCCAACTCAATCACCCCTCCCCCAAACCCTCAACTCCATCTCCTCCCTTGCTGACGCCATCTCCTCCTCCCTTCCATCCTAAATTTTTATTGGGACTTTTACATTAAGGCTGCGTTTGGTTCATGGGAAAGGAATCTTGGGCATGAGAAATCAATTCATTTCCCATGTTTGGTAAGTCAGGCATGGGAAAGCGATTCCTAGCACATGTGAAAGTTGGAGGGAAAGTGAATCCTTCCTTCCTCCTTGGGTTTCACTTTCCCTTCCCATGGGAAAGTAAAACTAGCATTAAATACAATTTTTTTTGACTAATTTGTCCTTACTAACAATTCATAATTACAATTTTTATCCAACAATTATTGGTATTTTTTTTTTAATAGGGGTACAATTAGGAAACTAAACAAAATTTGTTTTCCATTCCTACTCAAAACAAACATGGGAAAGGAAATAAAGTGATATTTCCAGATCACTTTCCCGGCATTACCAAACATGAAAAAGGAATCAACATTTCCCATCCCTTGGGAAATAACATGGGAAATGATTTCCCATCAAATTCATTCCGTGAACCAAACGGGCCTAAGACCCCTTGTGGTGAGATTTCTGGCTCCACCACTGCTTATAAGTCATGTAATATACCCATCTTGCTTCTAATTCCAAACCCTATTAAATCTAAAATTCTAAATTAATTTTGAGCAATAATAATACCACTTATACAATATAAAAAAATTTCGTTAATGTTTCCCCCCCTCACCCTTTACCCCAAAAAAAAAAAAAAAAAACGTTAATGTTTCCTTTATATGTGCAAAAGAAAAGAAAAATAAAACTATACGAGATTGCATGCAAGTTGCAACATAGTACGGACCACGTGGGCTTACTTTGTTTAACCCCAAAAAAAAAAAAAAACATTAGTGAATGCTTTTGCCTTGATAAAAATCTGCTGAGCGACCAACGACAATATGCCAAGTAAAGTGAGATCTGGAAATTAATTTAGAATAATTAGGCAACTACAATTTAAATTTCCCTGCTACCAAAGACCAGTAATGCGCCAGCTGTCAATTACCCTTTCAAACACGCCCCCCAAACTAAACCACGTAGCTCTTCGTCGGCTTGAAACAGACCCACAGAAAAACCTGTCATCCTTTTCTGCCCTTTCTGAAAACCACTGCCCCCTTGGTTTTACATAACCCCACACATTTTCCTTCAGTTCTTTACAATGACATTATTATCCTTCACCTAATTTATTTCCAATTTTTTAAAATAGATTTCTTTTCACAATTAGAAAAATATAAAACAATTTCATTTAACATTTCGGTTCGATGATTGAGACGCATTTTTCTTTCTTTTCAACATTTTTTCCTGTTTTAAAAATGTGTGGCATTACAGTAATTATATCCAAGATTGAGGTCAGATACCTGATCCCAATTTTTATAAATGTAAGCCGCTGCTCACTGAGTGACGAAGAGCGAGCAACAGAGTGACGAAGAGCGAGCGCCTCCCTACACACTAGACACAACCCAAAAGAACAATCTCTCGAGACATGCAGGGCTCCCTCTTCCTTGACACCAAAACTCTTGCATGGCCTTCACGTGGCCACACCCAAACCTCCTCCCACCACCTCCACCGCCTCACTCCACCAAATCCCACCATCAAATTCCGACAACCACCGCCAATCTCCGCCGTCGCCACCTCCCCACCGCCACCTCTAACTAGACAAAAGACCCACTCTCTGCCCCCTGAAAAAGTCGAGATCTTCAAGTCGCTCGAGGGCTGGGCCTCCCAACACGTCCTCCCGTTTCTAAAGCCGGTGGACCAGTGTTGGCAGCCCAGCGCATTCCTGCCCGACCCAGCACTCCATAAAGGGGAGTTTCTGGATCGGGTTCAGGAACTCCGTGATCGGACCAATGGGCTTCCCGACGAGTACTTTGTGGTGCTTGTCGGGGACATGATCACTGAAGACGCATTGCCCACTTACCAGAGCATGATAAATGGGCTGGACGGAGTTAGGGACGAGACTGGAGCTAGCTCGAGTCCGTGGGCCCGATGGACTCGGGCCTGGACTGCTGAGGAGAATAGGCACGGGGATCTGCTCCGCACGTTTCTTTACTTGTCGGGTCGGGTGGATATGCTCATGATCGAGAAAACGGTACAGTATCTTATTGCAGCTGGCATGGTGAGTCCAATACATAAATATATTTTTTTTTCCTAATTTCGAATTAATTAGCTGCATAAGCTGTTTTTTATTTGATTGGGAAAAAAAAAACCCATTTTTTTCCTTAAATAAAAAAGCACTTTTTGGATTAAAATAAGCGTTTTTGGCTTATTTCCCATATATTTGTTTTTCTTTTGGTTCTATTGTTTGATTTTAAATATTTTTCAATTATTTAAAATTAAAACATATGCACTTTTTGGTTTTTGGCTGTTAAATGAGCCAATTTCGTGTTTTTAGAAAAAATAATTTTTTTGTGTGGCATTATATTATAAAAATAACTACTTTTGGGTTTCTTTAAGAAAAGCACGTTTTGGCTTTTTAAAGAAATTGCTTTTTTTGCTTATAATTTACTGCAGGAGCCAGGGACAGAGAACAATCCTTACTTGGGGTTCGTGTACACGTCGTTCCAAGAGCGAGCCACGTTCATATCCCACGGCAACACGGCTCGGCTGGCTAAAGACGCCGGTGATCCAGTGCTCGCGCGCATATGCGGAACCATTGCATCCGACGAGAGGCGCCACGAGATGGCATACTCTAAGATTGTTGAAAAGCTCCTCGAAGTGGACCCCACTGGAGCAATGGTGGCGATTGCTGATATGATGAGGAAAAAAATCACGATGCCGGCGCACCTTATGTACGATGGGGAAGAACCCAAGCTATTCGAGCACTTCGCCGCAGTTGCTCAGCGGCTGGGCGTGTACACAGCTGATGATTACGCTGACATCTTGGAGTTTCTGATCGGACGGTGGAGGTTGGAGAAGTTGGAGGGATTGACGGCGGAGGGTGCGCGTGCACAGGAGTTCGTGTGCGGGTTAGCGCCGAGAATAAGGAGGCTTCAGGAGCGAGCGGATGAAAGAGCACGGAAGATGGGCCCGCATGCGGTCAAGTTTAGCTGGATCTTTAATAAAGAAGTCTTGCTGTAATTAAGTAATTAAGAAGTTAATAAGTAGCAATGGGAATGTAATTAGGAACTTAAATCAAGACTTTTTTGGTATGTAATTAAAGTACTTAATCTAGACTATTTTGGTGCAGAAGAACTTTCCTGTTTTTTTTTAGGTAGTTGTAGATGTTTACGCACCAAAAAAGAACAAGAAAGTATGTGCATTACCTTTTTAAAAAGCAAAAAAAATCTCAAAGCATCAATTTTCTGTCATAAAAAAGAATGTGTCATTTTTTTCCCCAACCTGAGAGACAACAATTAATCACTCCATGAGTCGATCTCTACGTTCTCCAAAAAAAATTGTGAGAAATGAGAATAATACTGTTTTGGCATATTGTGATTGAGCGGGATAGTAATAGTAGTATCAATCATCCACGTTTCTACATTCCACATAAGTGGGATAGTAATAGTAGTATCATCCAGTATCATCCCTTCACCAAAAACAAAACCAACCCATCGTCTTCTCCTCACCTTGTCGAGGCCACTACCCGAGTCTCTATTGTCTCTTTTTGATTTTTTACTTTTCTAAGGTTATTATCCGTATAAAGAATTTAACAATTTCATGTTTAATACTATATTATACACGTACTTATCTATATTTCAATAATATATCTGTGTTTTGTACACATCTTAAAGACTCGGTAAAATTCGCGTTTTTTAAAAAGCAAATGTACAATATTCATACTGAACATGTATGTATTTTATTTATATAACTGCACGGCTATACTAAATTAATATCTATAAAGTATAAACTAATGCAACTAGGAGAGTCCTTTTTTCATAATTTTTTTTATTAAATAGTATAGCCGAGCGGCAATACTTGTTTTTTTAAATTTTTATAAAGAAATAGTATAGCGTCCCAGCTATAATCGGTTTTTCTTTATTATTTTTACTAAAAAGAAACCGTATAGCCGGGCGGCTACACTCAGTTTTTTCTAATTTTTTTTAAACATTAATAGTATACTCGGTAATTTCCAATTTAAATCGGTTTTTAATTTTTCTAAAAAGAAAGTCTAGCCGCGCAGCTATACCCGGTTGTTAATTTTTCTAAAAAGAAATTGTATAGCCGCGCGGCTATACTCCGTTTTCCCCCTTTTTAAAAAAATAGTATAGCGTTTTTAATTTTTCAAAAAGAGATTATACAGCCGCGCGGCTATTCTAGGTTTTTTTAAAAAAAATTTATAAATAGTGTAGCCCTTTTTTTTATAATTATTTTAATAAATAGTATAGCCCTCTTTTTTTTTTAATTATTTTAATAAATAGTATAGCCGCCCGGCTATACGCCTTTTTTTAAATTTTCAAAAAGAAATTGTATAGCCGCTCGGCTATACTCGGTTTTTAGTGTTCAGATTCACAGCATCACCCAATTTCCATATCTAGTGTTGAGATTCATGACACCCAAACTTCTAAGTAGGTTAGCGTACGTAGTGGATATGTCCAATCACTTCAAGGGCATGGCTCAATTCTCAGACTCCTGGCCCAATTGATCTGGTGGAGTCGACCTTTTTCATACGAGCATTTCTATAGTGGGGTACTTCCTCTTAGGGCCGCCCCTTGGCCTTGGGAATTGCTCATCACCCTCTTCAAAATCCCCCTGCAATTCAAAGCAATAGGTTCCACAGATGAACTCATAATGTGGCATTGCCTGGAAAGATGCTTATCCCAAAATCCAACATATGAGGGTATTGAATGATCTAAGAATAAAGCTCACATATGCATACACATGGCGTCCAGTCTACTCATGCTCTCATGCCACAACCTGAAAAGCTACAGACAAAGGGTTTATGTTCAAGGTGTACTGCCTTGTAATGTTGATGGAGATTTGATTTCTGCAAACGTATAAGCAAAATCAGAAAATGAAACAATAAAAAAAACTGACAATGGCATCATTATTCACCACTGACGCACACACACAAGGCAGAATACAAAAAGAAGATCGAATTCAGAAATGAAAGCTACCATGAGAATTCTCATGCTTCCGCAGCTTTGAAGCAAATTTGAACACCTTTCCACAATCCTGGCATGCTGCTTCTGACCTCCAACATTAGCCGAAGGATCATCCTCATTGTGGAGTTCTTTCACATGCCTCCTCATGTTACCTTGGGAAACAAACCCACGATTACAGTTTTCAATCAGACACTTAAAGAATTTCCCTTGGTGCTGAAGAAGATGACGATTTAAGTGGTCCTTTCTTCTGAAGCTGGAACAACAATCATCCACCGAACAAACGTATGGCCACTGTAAAGAATAAGCTAAATGAATTCAGAACCAATAACCATAGTTTCAAAATACAAGTGAACAAGCATTCAATTCTAACTGAACAGTACGTGATTGAGGCTTGCTTGATGGAGCTTCCCAGGAGGTCTCCCACCTGGTACTAGTCCATTCAAGTCAAACCCTCACGCATTTTGGACTTCTTTGTGTGGGATCCAATGCTCCAAATTGTCCAACAGATACTTCTTTAAAATGTCGATTCCTGCAAAAGTTATAACTTCAATTGATGCAAATACTACAGAAACCTCATCCAAAAAGTAAAAAATAAGCTAAAAGGAATTCACGAACGAATAACCATATAATTTCAAAGTGCACATGATCAAGCATTCAAACCTCAAACTGAGCATTACGTGATTGAGGTTCACTTGATGGAGCTTTACAGGAGGTCTCCCACCTGATACTGGTCCATTAAAGTCAGAAACCTCTCGCATTTTGGAGTTCTTTGTGTGGGATCCAATGCTTCACGATATCCAAAGGATAGTTGTTAAAAATGTTGAATCCTACAAAAAAAAATTATCTTCAATTGATGCGAAAATTACAGGACCTTCACCCGAAAAGGAAAGTTATAGACACAATCAGCTGTAGTGAAGCTATCAAACTAATCGGTAGAAATATCAAGCTATACAAGCTGCCGCTGGTTTCCTTAAGACGACTTCAGACACCAATACTAGGGTATGGAATCATGTGAAGGTTATTAACAATTTAAAGTTAATAGCAAACAATACCTCAAGGGAATGGCTTTGCATGTGTTGCTTGAGATATGCAGGTTTCTTAAAAGTAGCACCACATTCTTGGCAAGTATTGGATTTTTTCCTCTCCTTCCCCATCCCCATCACCCTCTTTGGCCTTTTCCATCTCTTTGTGTATCAAAAGTAACCAAATTATAAGTAAAAATTAACATAATCAATCTGAAGACAACCCAGCTTCAGATTTTGTTTAAAATACAAAAACCAAATGAACCCACAGCAGTAAATCCCTCAAATTCGAAAACCCAATTCATAAAAATTCATAGTTGGACCATAGAAAACCAAAATTAAAAAGAATGATTGAAACCTTGTGGTGAGTGAGGATGTGAGAAGCAATCAGGTTCTAATTTTATCTGAGTGAGGATGTGAGAACCCTAATTTTTTTTTAAAGAACCGTTACGAAAATAAAACGAACCGTTTGGCTGCAGCAAATAAAGACTTTAAAACTCAAGTTTTCTTTAAAGTCAGTCAGGAAAAAATAAAAAAATAAAAAAATAAAAAGAGCCGCCTAGGCCGATTTTTCGATTTTTTTTTTTTTTTTTTTC